CCAGGGAGAGCCTGCCCCGCGCCCCCCTTTCCGCGTCCCCGCGGCGGCGGGACGGGGCCTCTGCCGTGTTCGTTCCCACGCGGTGCAGGCAGCCGTGGGCGGCGCGCGCAGAGGGCTGCACTTGCTGTTCCGATGTCCGCTTCCGTCCCATTCCGTGAGCATTTAATTTTCAGTGCACGAGGGTCTGAGGACTGTTTATTGGTGATTTTAGTCTCACCTTCTGTGACCTGATCGCCGGCATCTTCCTCCGTAAGGGCTTCTGTATGGTCAAGAAAACGATGCCTTTGTGTGTCCCAGAAATTGCTGCTGTTTTTCTCAGTNTGTATGGTCAAGAAAACGATGCCTTTGTGTGTCCCAGAAATTGCTGCTGTTTTTCAGTTTTTTTTGTTCGCTTTTTGCTGTTTTTTGAAAATACAGAAGGGTACCCTGACGTTGTTATGACGTCAGTTGTCAGTCGTGTCATTTTATAGCTTCTGAGTCCTGCGCGCTCCTGGGAAAGGCGGCTGCGCCCCCCAGAGATTGTTCAGTCTCGCTCCCTGCGCACTGGCCGTAACCCCTTTAACTAACACGAGCTCGGGAAGCAGGGTGGGGTTCCCCCGTCCAACCCGGGCCCCCGCGGCGACGGCTGCGAACAGCGCCCCCTCCCGGCGAGCCGGGGAAGTCGCGCTCCTGTTGGAGGACAGTCCTGGGGGGAGACCGGGTCTTAACAAAGGTTTGTCCCGCCGCTTTCCATCCGCACTGGGGATGCAGATTTACACAAACGGAAAAAGGGGTTGGGTTGGGGCTGGGGTGGGGGTGCATATATAGCTGAAACTTTCCCGCAGCCCAAGAGTTCATTTGCCTCTGCTTCTGTCCATCCTGAGCCAAGCCTGGACCCCAGGAAACTCGCGCTTTTTAAAAATATATATGTTTTTATTGATTTCAGAGAGAGAGAGAGAGAAAGAGAAACATCAATGATGAGAGTCATTGAGGGGCTGCCTCTTGCACGCCCCCTGCTGGGGATCGAGCCCTCAACCCCAGGCATGGGCCCTGATCGGGAATCGAACCCTGACCTCCTGGTTCATAGGTCGATGCTCAACCACTGAGCCACGCTGGCTGGGCTCCTGTTTTTTGGGTTGTTCTTTTTTCTTCTTTTTTTTTTTTAATGAATGGCTTTTATTTATTTAGTGTGACAGAGGGAGCCCTTTGGACCTTGTGTTGCCCCCCAAGAGACACTGGCTTTTCTCTTTCTCAGATGTCCAGTGCTGGCCTGGGCCTCTCTAGCCCCTTTGTGCGGAGAAGGGGGAGGAGGCTGGATGTACAGCCCCCGCCGGTTCCCATGCCCTATTCTGAACAGCTCTATTCAAGGATATTTCTGGGAAGACACAAGGGTGCTCTGGGCTGGAAGGAATGACTCAGGAGGCAGCCCCAGTGCGAGGGGCGCTGCCAAGACATAGAGGCACCAGTGGCACAGGGGTGGCTTGAGACAGTGCGTGTTTTAGATGGGATTTAGCTCTAGAAATGCCAGTGCCCCCTAAACTATCACAAATAAAAACGAATTCTAGAGATAGGAAGAAATTTAAATACATGCACACAGACACAATCCCTGGGCTGCTTAATTCATAGGAAGGAGATTATTGCTACAGTAGTTAGCTGACCATTGGAAAGTGAAAAACATCTTGTAACCTTCCCTAAAAGCTTGCAGTACATTTGGCATGTAAGAGAGGCTTCAAGCATCCTAAGCAAAGTTTAAGAATAAGTGGGGGGGAAGAAGCGGGGGGGGGGGCAGAGAGAGACAGAGACA